GTCGAAAATCCAAGCGAGATATCGGCACGAGTAGATCATGCCTAGCTCTCAGCAAACCTGCCTCAGGACCTCATACGATTAGCATGCAATATTGCAATGGATAGACATTTATATTTCTGTCCTCGTGGAAATTGTTAACAATTTCGCATGCGAGCACGGATAATAGTTAACGCGAGCAGTCGAGGAAAGAGATACTGATCTCAGAAATGGAATCCTTACGTTATCTGACTGCAGCATCGTACAAAGTTTTATGATTTACGTTCGCGGTTACATTCGCCTTCGTGATTTACGTGGTCTTTTTTACGAGGAAGTTTGTTGTCCGACTTGACAACCATATACCCATAGAAGTACGCATATCGATAATTGAGATTAATTATCTGTAATTCATGGTGAATTTGCGCGATGGCTATTTGCTCAGAACAGATGAAGATGACGGCTCGAGAGCGATTTATTGCGACGATCCTGCCGCGTAATCCGAAAGTCAGACCGTAAGCGTCAGGTGGGATATATCCGTGGCGTCAGCAATGTGAAACCGTGCAATATTAATCCGTTGCACCGCTATTTGAATTTCATAGTCACTCATCTGCGATACCGATCTTGAAACGATTTACGAGCAAGTAGAAGTGAGACTCCATATGAAATTAATAAACGTGGGTAAGAAAAGACCTTTGACGAGCCCGTTTTCTTGGAAAATTTTGTGCGCGAACTTTCGGTGCCCGCACGATCAATTTCTGCGAAACGGCTGCTTTTCTTTTTCGCTCGATTGGCGATTTAGCGTATGCTAAACTGCGATACTTTTCATGCTCACGAGCATACATTTTTCGCTCTTTGAAACTCACTAGAACTTTCATCGATTTTTACTGAACATGTGGAACTTCGGAAACTTATATTATAAGAATATTAACGAGATAACTTTACTATTTAAGCGAAAATATTTTGTTGTTTTTGAATTAATATAAAATTGATAAGAGAGAGATGAGAGAGAGAGATCTAAAACTTCAGGACTCGTTATTTTTCACGTTGCATATTTGTTTCGAGACATTCATTTTAGATTCGTGAAAGTATTTGCGATACAATTTCGCAATATTGCGAGACACCTTTTAAAATGCAGAATGCATTTGCAAGATACTTTAATATTAAATGGAACGCGCGAATACTCCGTGAAATAGAAACTTTTTTCGCAATAACAGAAATATTGTTTTGCGTTGTTTCGCGAATCGATATATACAGCTGAACGTATGATCCGTCGCGCGTCGGCACGCCTTGGCACGTTCGGTGAGTCATTATTCGCGCGGGAATTATCATATGCGGACACACATATGTGACCTGCGAGAAACAGACGCCGAGCAGAGATACGAGTAGTTCCGAGAACGCGTAAACACTCGCGCGAATAACACGGTAGATACGGCAGCATTAATGCAACGATATGTGCCAGTCTTCGTAAAGACATTCGCAATTCGTTCGCGGAATTGCGAGATGCCTTTGATGTTGTCAATTTCGACTTCGAGTCGCATGAAACACGCGGCGAAGTGAAAAAATGACGAAAACGAGGAAGATTTTATCCCGGCGTTACCAAGGCAGACATATGTAGCATGATTATTTTATAACATGGGATTTATCATAAGACTCCTCCATCTAAGAGCATAAAGTCGTAATAACATGAAATTTTTAAAATGTTTTAAATTATAAGTTTGATCCTTAAATTCAAATTATATAAAATTGCCAAAATTATTTTAAAACTTTTTTTATTGCAATGACATATGAGATTTGTCATATCCCGTTTTAATTAACTCCGAATGAAGGGAAATCTCGACACTCGACTCTCATCAATTATTGCCGTTGATCAATATTGCGTCAAAGTTGTAATTAATACAGCGATATCATATTGCGACAAGTGTCTAACTGCAGAGAGCGTATCACTCGCTGTTGCACAAATCTTTCGCCCGAGAATTATGGAGCATTCGTCATTGCGTTGAAATCGCCGAATTCTATACACTGCGGCACAAGCGCCAGACATGCATCATCGGGGCGACAGAGAAAATCGAAATTGCGGCGTACGCAATGACCGCATTGGACGCGGCGCGGATAATGGAGGGACAATACGGGAGCAGAATTGAGTGCCGGAGTGCTCAGGGCGGTGTAAATCAGTTTTCGATAAAGCGAAACGTCCGATGTACATCGACCGTCGCCGCACAAGAATGCCTTCGCACTTGGATGACAAACAGATGCGTCGCTCCGAGGTACGGTCGCGGTCCTACGTCGAGTTAGACTCGACGCAACGTTTTGCGATAGTCTGCACTGCACAATTCTAATTAATTATATTTTTAAAATGTCTATAAACTCCTTTAAATAATTCTTTGATTCATATTGGAGTTATTAAATTAAATTGAAAATAAAATACTCGATTTTCGTGAGAAATAATTCGAATCGCAAATAATTGCTACTCTCTGGTAAAGATTTGATAACTATAAGAAAAGAAAAATTGTTGCGTGTAAATATACAGTAAATTTCTGCCATCTGATGTTATCCGAAGCGTCTTCTTTGGATAGAAAGAAAAGGTGTTTTGAATGAGTTCCCAAAATTTGTTAAAACCAGAGGGAAGCCGCTTAGGTTAATGAAACGGTCGTAGCTTGAAACGTAGCAATTTCGTATCGCGAAAACCTTCAAACGTTCGTATTATTTCAATATACCGTTAGAAATAGTCCGGCGCAATGATGGACGTTTGACACGCAACCCCGTTGCAGCAAATACGGACTTGATATATTGCTCCATTCCCTAGGAGAATCGCAAGATCATGTGTTCTCAATCCTTTTACGTGATCGGTACGCGCGAGGCGCGCTCTTCGAGAAGTTGTCCGCGCGGAAAGCGCCGAGAATGGTTGAGGTGGATACTATAAGGGACAATGTCGTTGGATGTGACTTTTCGTTTTTCGCGAATGGAGACAGAGGGGGAGGATAATGGAGATCATATCTCGTAATTGTCGATCACGTCGACAGCTGTGCACGCTCGGCGAAACGTCGCTGTCGAGCGGATCCGCAGTTCCGTAATGCCGCCCGCTCAAATCGCCGTGAAATTGATAGTCGAGTCGGCGGGACCAGCGGGCAACTCGGATTGTTTCGCCAAGCGGTACCAAGCGATTTCGAGACCGTGTGCAGTTGTTAGCGCGACCCCGCGTGCCGACGTTAAAACGAGGCGGATCGATGGCGAGTTCGATCGAGGCGAGGGACGTTGTCTCGCCGCCGCGCGGAAACTGTTAATTTATGCAGCAGTTTTTGCCCTACGCAGTCTTTCTTTACCTGCCGACAAGTTGCACGTCGAATCGGACGTAAACGGATGCACATCGTGTTACGCGTGATGATATTCCATATATACTGCGTGTCCCACTGTTTTCTCTAACACTTTTTCTCTCTCTAAGAAACAAGTAAATTTGTGTAGATGTCTGAGAAAAGAACAATACAATATTCACGAAATCAGAATTTTTTGGAAACTGCATTTCCAGAATCATTCGGATATGAATTATTCATATATTTGCGCGTTATTTTTAAATTAAATGATCTGACAGAGCGTGAATTGTTGCGAGAGGGAAAGTCGGAAAACACAAACTTTATTTGTAACGCTACAATGAAAATAATTTAATTAACATTAACACAATAGAATTTCAGGCTCGATTTTCTTTGAATATTATATTGAAATGTTACATCCGCGCGGTGATTGAAAGAAACAAAAAAAAAAATCCGCTATCGGCCCGAGTGGAATCCAGCGATCGAGGCTTAACCGCGCGTATTCACGCGTTGTAATCCGCCATCGAAAAGGCTAACTAAATGTGTATAAATAACGCGAGCGAATATTTACGGATTAAAAATTGTCACGCAGTTTCCGAGAGTCAAATTTATATCGATGTTACATCTATTTTCTCTCCTCTCTCTCTCTCTCTTTCTCCAGCTGTAGTCCTAGCTCTTTTTTGCCGGCCGTTCTCTTTTGCAACGCCTACGAAACGTCCGCTTTGCAGTCCGGCAAACGATTCAATTATCGTCGACGGTGCGAGCCATATCGATTTTGTGATTTAAACTTTTCGGCGCGCAAAATTCGGGAACAAAACGCGCGCGATTGCGCGTATAGATGCCGACGAGAGTTACAACTGCGTCCTGGAAATATTTTTCCTCTACGGCTATTACCTCGAAATAAAAAGACAACCGGGAGACCACGCGCGGCAAAATACTGACCGCCATGAAGGATATTACATCAGATATTTTATCAGGTTTTGTGCTTCATTTTTCCGTTAAACACATGAAAAACATGTTAGATAAATCTGTCTCTCTCTCTCTCTCTCTCTCTCTC